AATGGAGAAGTGCGGTTTTCATGGCAGCTCATGAAACATTGCGGGCAATGGAAGAATGCACGTTTAAACGTGCAAAAACACTCACAAATATGTGCAACATAATTTTGTGGCGTACAGGAGAGTTTTACAGAATTTTGTCTTGGGAAATCTAGAGTTCGATTTACAAAGCATCAGGAAGCATTTTGTTGTTTTCCGTAAATGCAATTAAGCCAAAGCACACAGTGTTCTAGAACCCCATTGCTCAGCCATTGCAAGGTGTAAAATTGAAGGAATTGGGCAAAACTGAGTTTGCAGCATTTAGTTTGGGCTGGACCGCAGGCATAATGTGCCTGGCGTTCCCGTGCGGCCGATCGCATTGCGGCCAAAGGGTGTGGCTACGGTGCCATTCACTTCAATGGAACGCAAAGCCCCCTCCTGCCCCACAACATAGTGAGCCGGCCACAATGCGATGCAGTGCGTTTGGCCATAATCGGGCCGGAACGCACTGTGTCTGGTGTGAATGAATCCTTACAATGCACTACTATGTGTATAAATAAATAACATGCGTTTTGTGCTACAGTTTGCATTCTCCTTTTAGTAAGGTTCAATGTTTAATTAAATTACTATATTATGACAAAAGACAACGTTGTGTATTCCAATAAATATAAAGTGATCTTTGCTTCCAATCCACCGTGTATAAAAGTCTCTAGTCACACTCACTGACTGGTGTTGTTCACCTTATTACAAATGAATTATCTGCACTTTTCAAAGAGACTCGCGGATAGTTCATCTGTAATAAGGTGAACAATAACAGTCAGTGAGTGCGACTAGAGACTTTTATACTATTATTTATATTATCTATATTATTGGAATACACAAAGTTGTCCTTTATCATAATTATTATTATATATTAATTTAAATGAACATTGTACTTTACTAAAAGGAGTATGCAAACGGTTGTTGCACAAAACGCATGTTATTTATTTATACACACAGTAGTAGTAGTATTTATAGTGCCATTGTATACAGACATACAGTATATAGCGGAGGTAGTCACTATTCATTTGTTTCATATTAGCGCAATGCTGTTTTTGAATTGAGAGTTGGAGTGTTTGCTCACTAATTGGCACAGCTGCTTAGAATCAGATTCAAATCCGAGTGCACATCACTGTTGTTATTAGGGATGCACCGATACCACTCACACATTCCTGTTTTCCCCTTTACTTCTTGTTCTGTTGTGTTGGCACGGAAGGTGTGCAGAATTACCTTAAATATAAAAAAAAAAAATTGTTTTGGATAGAATAGGGAAACCATATTTTTTCATTAACTGTCCATGTCTTCGATGGAAAGGTCCCCTCTCACTTATTGTACCAGTGACAAACATGTTGAATTTCCCATGTCTTTCTTTCTCATTGGCATCAGTCATCTGGACAGATGGAGAGGGTGATCTGCCAAATGGGGTACAGAAAGTACTCAAAGCAGACAGATTTTCTAACCTTTCCCTACACTATCCAAAACTAAAAGAAGATGTTTTGGCTGGATACACCCTGACAATGCTAGTCCCCTTAGGAGAAGATTCCCCTCACTTCCTATCCCAGTCAGTGTGGTCATGTCGACTGGAAATAGGGGCAGATCTCTCCAACTGGGACACAGACATCAGTGAAAGATTATAATCTCTGTCAGAAAGGTTATAATCTCCATAAGGTTTCATTTCTTTTACCAATTAATTCAGGATACCCTTCTTGTTCTCTGTTACAGTGAGAATGCCATTAAGCGTTTATGGATGGAGTTAAGGAAGGATGAACCTCACCTGCTTCCAAGCTTTGAACATTTTCTCACAAGGGTCTTTTCACAGCTCCAGGAAGCCAACGAGGAGAAGAATGAAATGGAGTGTGCCCTCAAGAAGTCAGTAAACTAACTTTTCTTTTTGCTGTACATAACATAGCACAGAAAAGTGACTAAGCACTGCACCCAAAGTTTAATGAAACTATCTGCACATACGACCATATCAGTTCTACCGGAATGTTAACCTGGTCTCATATAATACTGCACAACTTTCTGAAGAGCTTACACACAGTGTCCACATTTTTGCTGTCCCAGAAATCTCTGAAGCAACTTAATCAGCATTCTGTGATGCTACTTCTAAAACTGATTGTTGTACAGAGGTTGATAAATGCAGTGTGAACAATTTGCACTTTCTTCAAATTAAGCCTGGAGCAGGTCATGACCATAAACTCAATGGGCTGTCCATGTTTTCTGGAAAGAGAATCCCTTAACCTTTATTGCTTTAGGAGACATTCATTAGTTTGCTATTTGCCTAGAGTATTATAAGTGATCCAGAATATCAGTTACTTTTTTAGCTCTATTTGAACCATCATCTTGTCTTTTTATTTGGGTGTGTGCTACTTCTTTTCATTGCACTATACACTGGGCACTATCTGATGTACTCCTGTTTACCCAATTTTCTATGCCTACTTTCCTATATGTTCATCATTCTATCCAAGCACCTTTCACCCATGCCAGATATCCCCTCTGAGCATTCCTCTTCATTTCCATCCATGCCTGCTTTCCTACTCTCTGATGTCATTCTCCTCCACTTCCATCCATGCCCAATTTCCTCTCAAGTTGTTCGCCTCCACTTCCATCCATGCCGTTCTTCTCTCTGACCATTCTCCTTAACTTCTGTCCATGTCTGCTGCTGACTATCTTTTTCTAGACAGCATTTCAAGCTCTCCCAGGTCATTCTCCTCCACCACCATTATTGCTAACTCTTCTGTCTGATCATTCTCCTCCTACTGTATCCATGCCTGCTCTTCACTCCGGACATTCTTCTCCACTTCTATCCAAACCTGCTCTCCTATTTGGTCATCATCCTGTACTTTAATCTGTGCCTGCTCTCCTGATGTCTGTTCCACCTCCATGTAGACCTGCTCAGTGGTGTAGCATTGGGGGGGAAGGGGGCAGGGCACTTTCCCCTGGGCGCTGGTGTTCTGTCAAGAATGCCAAAAACCATGGATACCAGTACTCCAAAAGCTGATTAAGTAGGTCTATTTATTAACGTACATGCTGCATAGCAAATAAACTTAATGCAACGTTTCGGGGTCGCAAAGGATCCCCTTCATCAGGCGGAAACAAGTGACAAGTGAAATCACTTGTTTCTGCCTGATGAAGGGGATCATTTGCAACCCTGAAATATTTCATTAAGTGTATTTGCTATACTACACGTACGTTAATAAATAGACGTACTTAATCAGCTACTGGAGTGCCGGTGTCCATGCTTTTGTTCATATGACAAGGCTTTTGCCATCCGCCGCCAACCGCAGGACCCATCTTATCACATTGGAATAGTGGTATCTGAGTGCAGTGGGTATATGGAGTATAACTGTCGAGAATGCCGACCCAGTCGAATTTGCCAACCTCACCATCTGATGGCATTCACGAGGAAACTGATTTATTTACAAAGTATTAATTTCTAACTGTTAATTGTGACCGTTGATAATATGCCATCCATGGCAGTAAATGATGGATGGCATTTTATGCACATTCACAATTAACATTGTACGCAATTACATTATTATGTAATTGCTTAAGATATTAATTCTGAATGTGCATAAAATGGCATCCGTCATTTACTGCCATGGATAGCATATTATCAACGGTCACAATTAACAATTGGAAATGAATAATTTGTAAATAAATGCTGGTTTCCTTGTTAATCCCGGTATCTGCGCAAGTGCAGATGGTGAAGTCGGCAAATTCGACTGGGTCGGCGTTCTCGACAGAACACCGGCATGAAGGGGGCGCCGGCAGGGCGGAATATCCCAGAGAGCAGAGGGGCGGCAGGGATTCCTTTTGTTGCCCAGGACATGAAGTTCCTGGGCGTCGGGCGCCCCCCATCCCCTTCCAGAACATTAAGTTGTGTCCCCGCCCCCCAGCGCCAGCTACCTCTCTCGCCGCCTGCTGGCTGTAGAGCTGAGAGCAGAGTGGAGAACGTCCGTTCTCCATTCTGCTCTGTGTAAACAGTGAGGGAGAGCTGTACTCACAACCTTCCCTCTCAGCTGTCACAGGAGTTCCAGCACAGTGCTGTGCTAGAACTGCTGTATTGGAAGTGACGGGTTCAATAAAGAGAACCTGTCACCTCCAAATACTATCACACAGGGGCTTGTTAGCTCCTGTGTGATAGCAATAAAGTTAAGTGAAAACAAATAAAAAATTAAATAAAAATAAATAAAAATTGATAAAAAATTATAAAATAAATAACAATATTTAAAATGAAAAAATAAAAAGGTGATAAAAAATAAAAAAGTAACAAATACAAAGATATAATAATTATAAAAAAGCAAAATTTAATGAGATAAAAAAATGTAAAAAAGTTAAAAAATAAAAAAATAAGTGATAAAAACATAAAAACAAAACTGATAAAAAAAGAAATAAAACTAACCCTGCCGCCCCGCCATCTGGTTGTCATTGTCCATTAGAGAGGAGGGGGGCGCATAGAGGAACCTGGCCTTGGGGTAGCAGAGAGAAAAAATCCAGCCCTGGACACCGGTCTGAAGGGGACCACTGGCTACTGCTCCCTCCCTCCGCCCCTCTGCCAGCCTAGCCACACTGAACTATCATGGTGGGAAAACAGTGCCTTCACTGGGCTCAGAGCCTTGCAGCTTCCTAGTTTTTGTGATTACAGAGCCGAAGATTCGGCAGCGGTGGCGGGAGGAACGCAGGAGGAGAGGTGAGCTTTGTCTCTAAAAATCACTGGAGAGGAGAGAGGTGGGCACAGTGGCAGTGGAAGAGCCAGTGAGGCTCAGTGGACAGATAGGCGGTCGGGGGGGAGGAAGAGATGTGGGCACAGTGACAAGTAGAAAGCTGCCTAAGGCTAACATTGGTGGCAGCAGTAGGAGGATCGCAGGGGGACATGTCAGGTGAGCTCTATACCCCATTGATGGGATGAGAAGTCAAGTGAGCTCTGTACCCCAAACTTGGATGAGAAGTCAGGTGAGCTCTGTACTCTATAGCTGGGATGGGTGGTCAGGTGAGGTCTGTACCCCATAACTGAGATGAGAAGTCAGGTGAGATCTGTACCCCATAGCTGGCAGGGGAGATCAGGTGAGCTCTGTACCCCATAGCTGGGAGTGAAGGTCAGGTCAGTGGCAGATCCAGGGGGAAGTGTGGCAAAAGGGTAATTTTTGCAGAGCGATGTGGGGACATTTTCATGAATACCTAGGAGCAGCCCATCAATAAAGAGCAGGTGTGGGCCGTGTGCTACCAGTGTGCCCAGAAACTGGCCCAGAGCTCCCTGGCACCGTGGACCAGGGTACGGGACCCAGCACCAGTCCTCTTAAGATTATGGTGTTCTGCATTGCTGTACAATGTATTGCTGGAATTTGTAGTCCTCTATAGATTATGGTATTCTGCATTGGTGTATAATGTATTGCTGAGATTTGTAGTCCTCTATAGCTGGTGGCATTATTCTGCATTGCTGTATAATGTATTGCTGGGATTTGTAGTCCTCTATACAGTGGCAGAACTACCAGGGTCACAGCAGTTGCAGCTGTGATGGGGCCCTAGTATTTCGCTACATGACATTGCAGATTGCATATCAGTCTGTGGCCCTCAATCCTTAAGACTGCATGGATTGTGTGTATCACGATTGAACTATGTTTTTTTTTTTGGTGGGT